GAGGATGGCAAAAAGTGTGATTTTTGTCTGAACTACCTTTATGGATGGCAGGTGTGGGTGTAGATGTTGATTAACTAAATACTCACACCCACACCCAAATCTTAGCAAAGCTCTTCCAATCATTATCAAGAGATAAATAATAATTTTATCAATATATTTATCTTTGATTTTATTTTAACCAAAGAACAAGATTCATAGTAAAAGTTGGAAAAGAAAAACTATTCCATTTTATATCTACTCGGCGAAGGCTTTTGGATTTTTATTCTTCTGCTTTTTTTAAATTTCTTTCTGTGTCTACCGTGTAATATTTAAAGAGAATTCTCTTCTATGCACATCTATGACTTATATTAATAAATACAGAACTATATATAAGTGGATGATTCAGACTTAGGATATGATAATATCTCAGTATAAATAACGAAAAATACCTAATATAGAAGAAAACAAAAGAATCGGTCGTAAGACAGAAATGAAAAAATTCACATGATGTAGAAAAGAGAAAGGTGAATATATAGAAGAGAACTTCGCAAACGAATAAAATATAATAACAATTACGTTTATTACTTCTTAACAATATGCTTACTGCTATTGATAGCTAAAACTTTTCTCTCATTCTCTGATGGATTTTTCCACGTGTGTTCTCTTGTTTTCTTTTGTATTTTTATGTAGTAACTCAAGTATTTTCCAATGTTGTGCTTCTTATCGATGAATATTATATTCCACCTATACCTTTACATCAAACATATATAAATATGCCTGCTTTTTTTTTCATGTGAGAAGCTTTCCAATGTAAGACAACCACGTAAACAATCAACCTGATTTGATTCGAACTTTTTCTCATCGGTCTGACTCAACTTCATAAATAAATGTATACATAACAATATTATCAGACATGAATGACTCATGCAACACGCGTTATTTTAGAGTTCGAAAATACCAGTGAAAAGAAAAAAAAGGTGACTGACACTTTTTTCATTACTTTTTCTTCTATTAATAGAAAAAAAACCAACCTGTGACATAAAAATTAACAAACTGCATTTAATAATGTCTATCGACTCGACTACGTCTCTTCTCACACTTCCTACTGAACTTCTCTATCTCATCATGGATTATCTCGATGTAACAAATATTCTGTTTTCATTTCGTAATGTCTGCACACAATTTTATGCAATTAGCGACAACTACAATCGATATAAAATCAATTTTAATGATGCATTATCGAAGACTGATATTCGACGTATGTGTCGAATTATTCGACCAGAAAATATTATTTCATTTAATTTTCGAAGTAGACATTGTATGTTAAGTAAAATTAAATTATTTTTCTCTCTTATCGACATCCATCAATTCATTAATCTTCGTTCGTTGGATCTTTATTGTTTAAAAGAGTGGGAGCTCAAGATTATATTGGATCATATCAACACCATTTCGATGCTCACATCATTGTCATTGATACAGAACAAAAGAGAATCCATGTCGACAGACACAATAGCCATGCTTTCATCGTTGATCGCACTACAAACTCTTCGTAATCTCGTCTTGCGTGTTGATGCTTCGGTAATAGATGCAATATCATGGCCAAACAACTGCACACTACAACAACTGTCTGTAGAAACATGTAATCATAAGCAAATGCATGACATTCTTCGTTGCTCACCTAATCTGCGAACTTTCATCTTGTACAACTGCTTTATGAGTGAAATCGATCAAATTGTCCTCTTGGATTCACATCAACAATTGACTTCGTTGACATTGGATAGTGAAGGTATGACGATAGATCAGGTCGAATCGCTTCTATCGTTTTTACCCTCACTCGTCCATCTCAACCTAGTACACTATCATGCTCCATTGCATTATCTCGAGCGCTTCTCTCACTGGGAACAATTTATCCGTGACAAGCTACTCCTACTTGAAGAATTTAAGTTTTACATCCAGACCACATGGTGTCATGATAATATTAACAAAAATATTGAATCGATTATAACTGCATTTCGAACAAACTTTTGGTTAGAGTACAAACACTGGCTAGTCACTTTTCGATATACTAACGATGGTTTACGATCAAATATCATCCTCTATTCATCAGAAGACTCAAACATTAACTTTTCTGACAATTTATTCTCAGGCATTATCTCATATGCCATTTCTACCAAAAGGAATGATGATTCAACAGAACTAAATAATGTATGCAATGCTCGCCTAAATTTGGCTCAAATAATGACAAGAGTCTCTTTCAATGATGTAAGTATTAACAAAAGCTTGTCTGTTTTTCAAAAATATGTGATAGTTTTCTGTCAGAATATGAAATATCTAAATAGTCGATTCGTCTAAAAGAGCATCCTTGATGTTAGATCATTCCCATATATGAAATCAATTTTTGCTTCGCACCATTGATATTCGATTCGTTTTGGTAACTATGTAATGAGAAAATCTGTTTTGGTTTGATTTTTTTTGGTTTCCTATTGATCTAATTATAAGCGATTAATTTTATTGTGGCGCTATGAATATTGCATTTCGGACAACTTGATTGATTGAGTTTCGAGCTGAAACTTTGATCACATATTGGTTTTAGAATCACTAAAAACTTCTCGATGTTTGAGTCGGATCGAATACATTCTTATCCAAATATTCGTATTGTAAAGAAACACTTGTTTTGGTATGTTCTTTAAATCAAGTATGTACATTGTAATGATGAACTACTATCTTTGTAAGAATGCATTCGTTCTAGCTAAAACTTTGGGAAACTTCTATGAACTATAAAACATGCAATTTTAGTTTGAAACTCAATAACTCAAGATTTCAGAGATTCTATATTCATAGTTTGAAAATCCACTTAAAATCTTATAAGTTAACAAGTGAAGGCCAGAAAACTGAACCATCAACAGAGTTTTTCATTACCCATCAAAACCATTTGAATGATAATAATTTCAATTACAAATCGATTCGACATTTTAGATGTTCCCTCGTTAACCTAACTAAGCGCAATGAATCTATATTAGAAGGAAGAATTACAATGACATGTACATAAGCAACCATTATCATCGTCATTATGACAAAAAATTTAATGGTAGCAACTAATGCTGCACTGATTCAAATTCATATTACAGAAAGAATTACTATACCCCACTTACCGAGTAATGGAATAACCGAAAATTCCAGACTGAATTCTTTCGTCAATATAGGATATTTTGAGAGGATAATGATATTCTATACATTTCGGTGAAAATTTTTTGAGATCGATAAATTCGAATCTGTGTGGGCGGTTTCTTAATATTATATGATTCATTTCTTGATTAATTATCGACACAATAATGGAATCCGCAATTTTCAGTTATCCATTTGCCGTGTTGGCTGAGCTGCCTGTGTGATGACAACTTTCTATGCCTAACCAACTCTGATTCCCACTAATATCAGACTGATTTTGACCAATGCTATGAATTGAAATGGACGTAGCATTAGATCCTACTATGCATGGTTTTATATGTATTGTGGAAAAATATTACTTTTGTTCCTAACAAAAAAATCTATTTTTGATTTCATCTTTATTTGTTGTTCATGATAAACTCTCTCACTATACATATACGTATATCTTATTTGCTAGAAAATGAATCAAAATGGAAAGTCATTTGATTTCCATTATACTTTATTGCGCTTGATTGAAAAATGATTCTAGGAATCAAAACTGAAAAATAATATGTTCATCTTTTCTTTTAGAGTAAACAACAAGCTTATCAAATTTTTCGCAATATTAGTCAACTAACACTAGACATCACTGATAAATGGCCACTCGGTGGGTTCGAATTTCTTTTGGCATTGATCGATCTTTCACAACTCACTGAAGTCCATTTATTAATCTCTAAAAATTATGGTCTCTGGACAGAGCCAATCCGTACTTTGCTCGAACAAGCATCCAACGTTCACACGCTCGGCATATCATATGACGCTAATGTAACACCAGCAATAATGGATATCTCTTCAATAGTATCTCGTCATATCAATCATCTAGTAGTGCGAACGACAAACAAGAGATGTATGAGTGAGCTAGTCGAGTGTTTCGAACACTTGTCTAGTGTTACATTGATACATCCTTGGGGTTCTCCAAGAATTTGGACGAAAATTATCGAAGTACTCAGCAAACAAGAAAAAACATTTTTATTAACGAACGACTATAGATCTCTTCAAGTGCTGTTCAACAAAAATATCAATGATCTCTCGGAAATGCAAAGTAGTCCCAAACGTTTCAAACCATCGCATGACCAATACGATTCATAATCAGTGCGGTTCTTATCGTTTTCGCTCGGCATCTATAATGGATTTTTCTAACTTTGTTGAATCGAAAGTAATCAATAAACAAAAGCTTATGAATAAGTCTTCATCATAAATACAAAGTTTTTTCTTAGAAAACTCTAATTGAGGTATGCTCCTTTAACTCAAAAATAGTTCATTCCACCTCATATACCTAAAATCTTTGCGAATTCGTTGGTATCACTTTGTATAGTCACTTAACAATATGCAGATTACAACCACATAGTTCAAGTAAGAATTCAAAAAGACTCTTGAAGTTATGTGACACGTCATCTAAGTGAATGGAAATATGAGGCAATACAGTTCCAGTAAAAGAATAAAAAAAGTTAATTGTTTCTTGTTCATGTGATTATATAGGACCTACTGTTTATAACGCATACTGAGGCGTCCAGAAATCGATCACACACTGTTGACAAAATATTTTGGGGTGTGTGGGTGTGGGTACGGAGTGTGGGTGTGAGTGTGTGAAGAGAAGAGCCGCACCCACAGACCCACACCCTTTACAGCTATTTCAATCAGGCCCGTACATTTTTATAATAGGAAAGAGACTCTGAAGAAAGAAACGCAGGAAAAATTTGAAAAAAATCAATTTGCTTAAATTTTTTTCATCGATTGCAGAACAGATATTCAGCTCGTTTTCTTTGAATAAATATTCTGTTTTGTTAATCATTAGTTATTAAACCAAGAGAATATTATTAGCCATCGTAAACAGTCCATTCGATAGAATATCGTTGAACTCGAGCATTCATAGTGTCGACGATGTAGAGATTGCCACGTTGATCAAAAGATAAACCCACAGGATTGTCGAGTTGATTTGCTTCTTCTCCTGGACCATTTCCACCCACAATAATAGTGCCGTGTTTTGCTCCTTTAGGCCAACGCATCACTCGATGGTTTCCCATATCAACCACATAAACGGTGTCCAACATATCAACGAACAACCCTCGAGGACTGGCCAATTGTGTCACAGCCTGCCCTTGTCCTTGGTCTCCCGCAACGACAATGCCCTCTGTTGCACCTTTATTCCATTTTATCACACGATGATTGGAATTATCTGATACATAGACAGCTTGTTTTCGATCGACAAAGATCTGGATTGGACCACTGAGCTGATTGAAATCCTTACCTCTACCACGACCACCAGCCACGAGAGTTCCATTTTTGTCTCCCATTTGATATCGTCTTACTTCATGTTTGACCATGTCAGAGATGTAGAGATATTTCTGATCATCCATTGCCAGTGCCCAGCAATCGATGTTATCAAGAACTATTTCTCCTTGAGTTGTATCACTAAGACGAGACCAACGTACCACTCGTCGGTTTGTTAGATCACAAATGATGAGACTGTTAGTCTCTTTATCGATCAACACATCGGGCTTACAACCTGATTGATTCAATCCACCTTCTGGACTATTGCCGTCAGTCACCACTTGTCCATTCTTATCACCCATCTTCCATTGAATGATACGAGCATTGTTGCAGTCAGCGATAATCATCGTTTGATCATCATCAACGAAGATACCCCAAGGCCAGTTGAGTTGATTGGTAGCATACCCAGGTCCATTGCCTCCAGCAACCGTTACTCCATTCTGCGTCCATTGTGTATTGACTGGAATGTTAGGAATCCCTACAATAAACGACAAGAAAAAGACTCATCGTGATATAGAAAACACTACCATCGCTATCAAAGCATGAAAAAAAATGAAACATTTTCATTCGGAAGAACTTAGAATGAATTTTGACAAAATATACTTGAAAATATCCGACACATTTTCTCATATCCACTGTAAGAGAGAAAAATTTTTAAAAAATCTTAAGAAGGATTCACTTGCAGATATACACTCACTACTTGTTATTAACTTTATGAAACACGATAAAGAAGCAGTGTTTAAGTATCTAGCACAGAAATTTAATTCCCTTCTCGTTTCTTCTCCGTCATCTCTTTTATACACCTTGATAGACATTGTTAATATACCGTCAAGACCTGTATAGCAATGATGTCTCATTAGAATATTTGAACTAGCTCCCTATAACATTTCGAGAGAATCAAGTGACAGATCGCGAAGAAATGCGTACCGAAAGGAATCGAATGAAACGATATTGCGATGAAACAGCATGAGCAGCTGCATCGTGTTTCACATTGTAATCTT